CTTTAGTACTGCAAACCATACCCCCGGGGAGGTTGTCTCTCGTTCGAAAAATAATAGGAATTAACGCACTTTTCAGGTGATTTCCTCATCATCAAACCTTTATTCTTTTAACATTGAATAACTTTAAGTGTAGCGTCGTTGTTAATACAGAAAAATGCAGTCACAGCACTTTGACAGACAATATGACATATGGACTATATTATTAAGTGTTTGTCACATCGAAGGACACTTCGCACATAAACAAAGCCCTGCCCAATAGTTGTTGGCACAATATATGATCTGAACGAAAATAAGTTTAAAATCCAATTAACTCTTTTATTTTTCTCCGATCCTGCTTCGAATGTGCTGGTGTAGAAGTGAGAGACGTTCTCGAGTTCTATTGTTTCAATGGTTTATAAGTTTATTTTCACAAAGGGAATCGCTGATTTGGCCGCAACTAAAGAAGAATGTAACCAACAGTTCCGAAAACACGTGTTTTTTTGGCATCCAGTATATTTCAAGATGGTGTACTCTGCGCCGGAGCAGTGCCTTGAAGTTCCGCCAAATATACACATCGGCTCCTACAGTTAAATACTTAGAGGCCTTGTTTTGGCAACATAATTGGCCGGCATGCAAAAAGGAAAGAGAGCTAGGGGGAAATTCTATTCCAGCTCAAGGAGCTGAGAGCGACTCAGGTCCTTGCGCCCAAATAAATTTGAAATTATCCCTTTTCCGTCTCCTTGTTTAATGAAGATGAAGTTTAATCTCGAAAGAAACGCTAGTAAGGTTTTGGCCCAACAACAAAAGGGTAAATGGACTTTCTGTAGTAGTTTATGTTCATAAAACATTCAGGTATTATTGTTCTTCGGGTTTGAGAAGAAAATGAAATACATGAATCAACCTGTTGCATACCACAGTTGAGAATGTTAATTGAAAAACTTTTATAAATTGTTGTTAGATGCGACTTTTGACCAAAAAGGGCACGAATGCCACGAATGCTTAATTAATTAAAAGACGTTATCAAGCATTTCGCGAAAGATATTGAAATTTGATAAAAGAGACACTGATAGGGAGAGAGGTCGAGCATAAAGTTCACCGAAAACAATAAAAAAGTGAACCTTTTGCTTTCAACCCTTTGTGTGTTGAAAAGGAAATATTTGCATCAACAGTGATCTAGAGTTCTTTATTTGTCGTTTTTTTCAAGGTTGATGTGAAAATTTTAGGAAAGTGATTGGAATCAGAGTTCCGTTTTGCTCATACTAATGCTGTAAACCTTATGGTTAAACTCATCCGCAGTAAACAGTTTTCCGTGAAGTTAATGTATTTAGAGAACAGTTCGCATCATCTTTACCCTCTTCGCAGAGTGTTATTGTCTGATTAACAAAAGACCCTTAAATGGGGGTTACTGGTGTTTAAGTGTATAAAAAATCTTTAAATTATATTGTAAACTGCTGTGAGAGATTGTGGTCAAGCCAAAGATATTAAAATGAAAATGTCGGTAATGTTCATAATATACTTTGCAAACCCCCTATCTGTGACCTCTTGAATACTGCGTGTTTCCATCACTACCACAGACAAAATTACCTGCTATTTACGGAGAGAGGCGAGAAACAATAATCTATACAACCCCTCGAAGGTGTGTACCCTCTTCGAATAAATGGGAAAGTTATGCGTGCTAGAGAATTGATGAATTGGGGTAATGCGGTAATCAGACAGGCAAGCCTATTAGCAAGGTGCTCTTTCTGCACGCAACAGACTTCGGGTAACTGTTTTGGAAACGCTTGTGTTAATCAGCTTAACTCAACTTTTTAACATCTTTAATTTTTGAAATTGGATAGCGTGGTTTCGTCATTGAAAATCTAATCCAACGATATAAAAATCAAATTTAAAAGGCGTCCATATGGCTTGTAAAATTAGTTGTTTCTTCAATCACGAGTTACCAACGTGCTGCGGTTCGTTTACGTTACGCGTTTCTGTCAGTGCATTTCTTCTACTTTCTGTGAGAAAACTCCAGGTGCAAGTTACTCTTTTTTTGGCTCTTTCCTAATCCGTTCAAACAAATCTGATCTACCATTCCATTACCACTTGCATGACATGTCTAACTGAATATTTATGGTGCATGTTATTACTAATATTGTACTTCCCCAACACCATTTTCTAAAGGGCTACTTTATAGATTTCGATATTTAAAGTTATTTGCTAACCCTGAAACATCAACCATTAATTTAGCCGGTATCTGTGATTTGACGCCTAAGGTTTGTTCGTATGGACTCGTGCGAAAGTCACTTATACGAGAACGTCGGGCTTACATAAATAGGCCGCAGTTCTCGTAGGAAATTCTTTGTGTAAATTCCTTTTCCCAAGCTTTTCAATCATCGCCTCAGTTCAGAGTTAATTACTTATCTGTAGTAAACAAATATGATATATGTTTGTCGGCTTGATGACAGCTCTGGTCGAAGATCTATGCACTTATAATAGTTTATAGAACTGCTAAATTAGATAAGTTATTTCCATAAAATTATTTCAGCGTTCGGGACACAATATTCGGCGTTATCTACACACCCAAATCTATGAGGGCTTCATGCTTTAAAACTAGCCTAGGAGATTGGATTATCAGATCTAAAGCTTGACTCGTGCGAAAGTCATTTCAACAACAATGTTGGACTTTGAAGTACATGGTTGGATCCTGGCCATGCGAGTACTAGAGTACTGTTTATAATTCCAGCGACATTGATTAAACATTGATTAAATAAAGAGAGAAGGAACAAACAACAAAACAAGGCAAACGGACAATAATAACTAAGAGTTGCAATGAAATAACAATAATAATAATAATAATAATAAAAACGTTTGGACTTGTTTCCAGCTACTGCCGTAGATGCATTAGAATGAAAATAGTTGATGATTTTCAAAAGACTTCCTCTAAGCCGTTTCAGAACACAAGTCCTATCCTTTCCTTGGAAGGATATAAGAGAACTAAATGGTCATGTCGAATTTGCGAGCGAAGGTCTGGATAACGAGTCGTTGTTAGTGGTGTTCAGCTGTTGCCTTCGATACATTGGGCTAGAGACGAAAAGTTGTTTTGATTTCACACTTAAAGGTAAATACAAAATAGAATTTTGCACGTATTTAAAAAAGAAAAAAAAAAGCGGTGGAGTATCTTGTGAACTGGAAGGGTGTATGTGTGAAAAAATTAGAGGTGATCAAACTTATGATACACCTCTAAACTGAAGACAACCACTATCCTTCTCCACGCCAGTTAGGTGAAAAGTTACACAAACGAAAGAAAACACATTCAACTAGAGACCAAAGGAAGGAAAAACTTAAACTCATGAAACAGAGGCGATTTTCGTGAAGTCAAAGATCAAGGTACATAAAATGATCTTAAAAAATTGAACAAGGTTGCCAAATAAACTAAAGACAGACTGAGTGTTATCTTAAAAGGTCATCTCCGTTATGCGGTTTTCGGGTCAGGTTATGATTATCTTTGAAGGCAATCAAGTCTGGAATAAAGATGGAAGATTGACGGAAACCCTGATAATTTTGACTGATTAACTTTAAAGTGAACCAAAGCCGTGAATACAAACTGTCACAATGAAGAGGACAATGGAGCTCAAATGTATTTCAAAGCCTGGAATTTGGCGAGCCTCCAGTTTCCGCAAAAGTTCTAGACAGGTCCTTGGCTGGGTTGTTCACTCGTCTTTCAACTAATAACACTGACACTTGTCGCATTTGACAAGAAGTTCAATATCCCTTTACTGCAACTCTGTATGGCGACAAGGGAAACGATTTTTATGGGAGTTAGGTGAGGATGGAGAAATTAAGCGGTGAGGCAAACAGGAATTCCTTAACAGGCCCGAGCATTGGCATAAACTCAGTAGTTGCACAGCTGAGTGTCTGACGCAGTGTCGTACAACATTCGTAAATATCAACATTTCGAACACTCGACGTAATGTGAATAATGGAGAATGAACAATCAGCGATATTGACGAGGAAATTCAGTACACGTTTCCGGCAGATTTCTCGCAAACCCACCAAAACATGGACAATAAAAACATGTGAATGAAGTTCGCCCTACGCACAAACAGTAAAAACCCTTGCCAAATCAATTGTAACCAAATTACGGTCCAATTAATGTTTACATTAGTGGCTGGGCGATGGGCCAGTTCTTGAACGATATGTCAAGCTCTTGTCTTAAGCTTTGCCCAGAATGTCTGGAGGTTGGCGGGGATTTTCGGTTGAAATTATCCCTATTTTCAACCTATCATCACAAAAATCTTCTTCGGGTGAAACCTTTTGGCCTTTGTAGCGGTGTGAATTACCATTATCAATACATACTTTTTATCAGTTTTAACTTGTAGGGCATGTAGTGCATTGATAGCAGATTTAACTAAGACATCTTAACCTGAGCTAAACAAGATAAAAGTACAATACAAGAGTCGTCCAAAGACGCCGGCAAAATTTAGATAGCATGAGTGTAATCTTGACTGGTAAACTAAATTGACCTGTTCCTCAATCTGAAAAGTTTGGATCAACGGTAATACTTCGTTCTTCGTCTGATTAGAAATAACGGAGAACTACATGTTGCAAAAAACTTTTCGATCTATGATCAAATGAACCATCAGTTTTTGAAGAACAAGTTATAACAAATGTTATAATGATTAGAGAAAATAAACAGTTGTTTGAAAGATCGAGAGAAAAGATACGTGTGAAGGTACAACAGATTAGCTGTTACTTCCTATTTTGTGATAATTTGATTTGAGACGCAAACGACCCTAATGACGCAGCTAAACTTCAAAACGTCCTCCTTTGCGTGACTTAAGCTAAGTTGAAATAAACGTGAACCTTCAGCAAACGAGTGTGTATCTAAAGAGAGTATAAAGAAAAGAAAGTCCGAGAACAATTAGACTTGTTTTTTTTTTTTTTGTAATCGCCTAATCTCCTTTATATGTCGTGAAAAGCAATCCACAAGTTAGCTAATAGAGCTCTTTTCGATTGAGTGTCCAAAAAAAAAACCCGAAGCCCAAGTAAATACAACAGCCAATCAGAGGGAAGGAACATTTCGCAAGGAGCCAAAGAGAACTAAAGTGTAAACAAGCTAACTCATGAAGCGCGGGAAAACGCGAGTGACCAAGTCACGACTGATTTTAGTTTTAAATCTGATTGGTCGATGGGATGGCGTGACATTTCCTGACCAATCAGACTCAAAAGCTTTCTACTGTCTGTTTAGTTTTCTCAATGATAAGCCAGATTAAAAACAATATTACGCATTCCCTTCCCAGTAGTAGTAACTGAGACGGGTTTTTGGATGGGAAAATTTATGAGGCGATTATACCTTAAGTTATTAAAGGAGAGATAAATACTTCAAAAATCTATTTTGTTGTTATTGTAAGGCTGTAACAATTGTGAATTTTTAAAACTCTCTTTGTTAAGGCTATACGCGGCCAGTATGTCACATACTAAAACTAAACATCTAGTCAGCATAACGTTTTTTAAAGTAGCTAATATCATTCTACTGATATAACTTGTAAGTACAAAGTCTTATGCGTTCAAACAAATCTAGCAGAGAAAAACAAATTGAAAGATAACATCACTTTATCTTGAAGAAGTATCAAGTATTCCTATGCGTTTCAAAGTTCTTTCAATGATAAAGAAACATTGTCACCAGTGGTCACACATTAATCACTTCATCACTGGTAATAACACTTCAGAAACACTTGAAGCGAATTTTTATGTGCTTGGGCTCCAGCAGCGTCTCAAGTTGAGAAATATGGCACAATAGTCTTTGTCTGTACACATTTCCGTAGCCTTGATTTCAACATCCTGTTACACAAACCCTACATCCGCCGGCTCGCTATCCGTTGGCATAAAGTTAGGCTTCTCATGTTGAGCACGAGATGTATAAAGCATCACAATCGAGCACCCTCTTCCGGTTTCCATGGGAAAACTTGAGTTGGCTCTCACTGTAGTACACACCCTGTAGAGAGAAAAACAAAGAAACAAATACAAAACTATATAAAAATGAAGACTCTTGTACAAATCGTTTACATTACTTCATAGGGAAGCCTAGTGCACTTCTCTCGTCACAGTGCGGTGTAAACCTCACAGTGCGGTGTAAACCTCTTGTACTCTCTGGTATTGTGGCTTGATTTGGTCAGCCGCCCATTTCATTAAAATGAATGTTTCGCGCATAATTCACAGCAGCAGTGTCAGTACGCAGCAAATCTCTACTTTTTTCAGTGCGCTATCAGTTCTGTTCCATTACAGTTTGGCAAGATACAGCGCTTGTTCGCTTACACTTATAACTTCCGCTGTGGGTAAAATTCTAAATGTCGTTTGGTTTGCTTTACATTAAGATTGATTAAATAAACTGGCATTGAACAAACTCAGTTATCTTCTCGTATCCTTCTTTCCCTCCCCTCCCCTCCCCTCTTCTCCTGTTCCTCTCGTCTATTATCCCTTCCCCACTAGGAAATTATTAATTTCTAAGCCTGATTTGAGAATCCAAGATGGCAGCTACATATCTCGCGAAACTGCTTTCGCTCGCCGAAAAAAAACACATCAACCGCAGCTTAAACTTTTTTTCTCGCCGTAGGACGGCAAATTTTATACTTGGGCTACTCATTTTATTTTCTCTCTCTTTTTTTAGTTCCATGAAGTCCGAAAACGTTATTAAGACGTGCTGGGGTTGTTTGGTATGGTATGAATCAATAACTCATGAAGTGTTCATTAGTTTTATCATGTACAGTCTAGGTTTGACTTCCAACTGAGATGTTCTTCGGTGTTAAAAGACCGGAACAAGAAAATTATGTAACCACATTGCTTGTGTTCAAAATAAAGAAAAACCTCACGCATTTTGGTTAATCGTTCTTTAAGGTGACTATCGTTTGACACAAATTCTACCTTCATTTATAACTTAAAATTTATATTTAAAAACGCTCTGACTCTCATTCTGAGCTATATTTTAAACCTTTTGTTAATCCACGCTCCAACGTTCGCATAAAAAAGCCCTTCTTATAGCGTCTCTTTAATATCAGACATTTTAATAACGTTGAACCTCTATCGAAAGTGACTTATTGTTCTTCCCCACATCCCTTTTATCATAATTAGCTGAGAGAGCTTCCTGAGAAATAATTTGTTTTGTAAAGAGCGTGGGAAAAGGAAAAATACCAGAGTCGATTGCGAGAATTTGCACCCCAGACCTTAAGATTTGGCGCTCCGATGCTCTATCGCTGAGCCACAGAGAACTCTGAACTGAATGTAATAGCCTTTGACACACATCCAGTATACCTATACGATTAGCAACGTCGAAAGCAACTTGAAAGGATATAGAATAGAAAAGATGACAAATTTTGAGCTAAGTCGTGGAGTACATAAAGTTGATTTTGGTTATGAGTGAATTAGGTAAAGCATTGGGACGCCAAATCCTAAGGTCTGCGGTTTGATTCCTGCCTGAAACTCCCAATTTTTTTTCGCTTCACGCTCGTGAATAACATCTTTGTTCGATCGAAGATGGAGTAAAAATTCATCATCTCTTTAATGCTAGGACTTAAGATCGAAAAAATTTCTCCAGTAACATTTTAATCTATAGATTCATTTAATAAATTAGGCGTGAAGAAAGGATGTAGATTATTTCCTACTTTTAATTCTACATGACTACGTATCTTATTAGTATTAATTTAATTATTTCCTAATTTTAATTCCATATAACTACCTATGTTAAAAAAAAAATAATTTCAAAGTCGTGTCAAAAAATACCATGTGCTGATTGATTTTGCGATGCTGCTCCTGATTTTAACAAATTTTGAAAGTTTTACAGTCTTTTAAAGTTCAGGATCATGACTGTACCTTTGTCGGGCATTGTGGTACAGTAGAGATTTTTCGGGCTACAACACCCGCACGTTCGCGTGATTGTTCAGACTGTTCTGTTGAAATATTTTTCAGGTTAATTTGTCAATTCCCTCCTAAGTGATAATAATATTAATGCAGTTTATACCCTAGGGCATGAATATGTTTTGGGCCCCCTCGACTCGGGTTGAAATGAATTGTAGTCTGTGCCCGCAAACAAAAACTCTATTTTTCAAATAGGTTGTTCTACGCACCTCTATCACATTCCCGCTTCTCATACGTAAAGAGCACATTAACAATGATGTGCTGGGTTTTTGAAAGAAAGAAGTCGAACATAAACATTTCCACCCAGCGAGGATTATAGATCCAACGCCTTTAATTCATAAGTTAAATTTTCTTCTTATAATACTTAAGGAAAAGTTTGGATGATGGACATTATTTCCTAACTTGATTATAAGCTAACCAGAAAATATTGGCTAAATCAACCAATAACGGAAATTTAATCAAGACAGTGGAACAGCTTACGTACGCCCTTCGGCCCGTCCGGTAAGATTCACCTAATTTCCTAGTCATGTTAATTTATGGTTAAATTTAGAAATACCTAATGACCTTCTCAGTTTTATTGTCTAGGAAATGACCTCGAAAAACAAAAAAATCTTCTTATAATAACTAAGCCGGAATAACTTGCTATTTTTATCGCTTCTGGTTTGCAGAATCAAGCATAGTTGGAGGGAAATAAGGGTAAAACCGCACTCGGATCTGTTATGTTGTGTCTTGGATTAGAGATTAAATTAAGAACTCTTTAATCTGGTGCTAAGATTATTTTCGCAGATTACAGCGAGCTTTGGTATTGTGTGTGAATTCCAGAGTCTGATAAATTTCCATTTCTTCACGTACTGTGCCTGGTCTGCACATCACGAAAAAGATCTGAAATACCACAAAAACATTCTTATTTTTTCTGCAAGGCTTTTGTAAAAAGCACAGATTTTTGCGTTCGAAATCTAGGATCAGTAAAACCGACACCTGCCGTAGAATCATTAAAAATCTGTTCCGGTTCTTTAACTGTTAAAATCTCTCCACACGAGAGAAGCTTTGGAAATATTGGCAAATTTTTTTGTATTCAAACTGATCAAGTTCCTCATTCTCCTGGCAAGCGCAGTTTGATTTGTTCCAACATATTAACAAGACGTTAGACAAAGATCACAGCACTTGAGCCTCTGGACATACTCACTGATTAAACTAAACAACAGATGTATTCAACATAAAATCTCTGCGCCAAAACAATATTACAATTATTTTCAAGCGAGGGTAGTTCAACTGGCACCAAACGACCATAACTCTACGTTTGTTAATCATTTTATATCCTTCAAGGGTGCCATCAGTTAAACTAATACTTATATATCCTTCGCTCTATTTCCACCAGCGCGTGCAATTGTTTACGTAAAGCTTTGCGTCAACTATGGATACCGAGTGGGACTGGGGAGATACGAAATATTTTCCTCGCTGTCTCTCCATAGGGCATGAAAGTGCAGGGATTACGTGAATCACACGCGAGAACTCACGCTCTGCGTTAAGAAAGGTTAGCTTTAGACTACAAGTGAAATGCAAAGAGAAAGAAACAATAAAAGAAAATAAACATAAAAGATCGAATGACTCGAACAACAAAACAAGGCGGTGCTTCATCCTCTGCATTTTAAAGTCCGTCGTTCGGGCAAAAGGAAATCGGGGAAAAAAAAATAGGCGTCTGGCGAACACGAGAAGCACCTATCCCTACCGCTTGCAGTCACGACAATGACGCCGTGGAAAACGTCGATTATAAAATGAACCTTCATTTATAATAAGAAATAAACGGCCTTTAACGGCACCTCTCTAGACCAATTCCTTCAGCATAACATGAGCATGAGATCATGTGACGGCAGCGTTGAGTTCGTAAAAGAGAAACATTGGTAATATATCGTCGGTTTCCGATATCAGAATACGAAGAATTTAGCGACTTTACCTCTTCGTTTTTAGAGATAACGGCTAGGACATGTGCAAGGTTTCAAACACATGTGCAAAGAGACAGATCTACTTATAAACCCTTTGTTGCTGTGGTAGCATCGTGATTTGCTCGGCGTTCTCAGTCAACGCCGACTTTCTTTTCGCTAATGAATTTCACTCGCGCTGTGGAGTAAGTTCGGAACCAGGCCTGATTCGGAACGAAGGATCGTTTGTAACATAGAATTCATAAGGTGTGTTTAAACTTCAGTTATTTTTCATAGTAAATATCAAGAAAGCTAAGTGCAAAGTTCCATTTTAAAAGTCTTAAATCTTCAAGTCATTCCCAGCAGAGTACATGTCTGTAGCTATCGGATGTTAGCTAGACTCAGTACGAGTACAACAGCCTCTATATGGATATCGACTACAATTAAAATCTCAATTAAAATATTTAAAACCTGTTGCGCATCGAAAAGAACAGCACAGTTTAACGAACACATTGAAAAGCTGTTAACCACCTCTGCTCAAATCTAACCTGGTAACCGAATAGGTTTGCTGAACGTGAAATCATTCAGATTTCAATGCGTTTCTCTTTCTCACGCGCTCTTTAACGTTGCATTTAAAACATTTGTGAAGGTAACAGAGTAAAAAGGGAAAGAAGACCTTGTTTCAAGCAACGCTAATACAACTTGAACATGTGCCCTCAATCAGAACTCCATGAGCAGTTTCCATACCAGGTGTTTGAACATTTTGATTGGTACAACTCGCACACATCTGCAGAACTCGTTCAAAAGTAATTACAAGAAACAGGAACTGCATCAATCGATCATGTACCGGACACGAATGGACTTGAATCTAATCCAAACAGTGAAACAATTAACGCGCAAATCCTTCATGAATGTTTCTATCAAGTTTTCTCATTTACGTTCGCATTCAAGAGATTGAATTTCAGCCGTCAAAACCTGAAATTATCATTATGCTCTTTCGCAATTTACAACAAATAGTATTTTCCGTATTCTTCACAAAAGAATAAAAAGAGATTGTATTGATAATAAAACAACTGCCAGGTAAAAGAACAAACAAAAAGAAAACGGAATCTCTTGCAAGCAGTGATGCCACTTCATGTTGTTGTTTCCTCCGTCTGAAGTGGGAAGTCGATGTTTCTCCCCTTGAACTCGAAAGTGTTATCTTTCCGAATAATTAAACAAAAATTAAGACCAAACAGTGACATATTTTTTCCAGTTGAGCTTAATCTACGTTACAAAAACATCCATTGTTTTGTAGAGAAACAAGACGGACGATTGTTATGGTGCTTATTTGGGCCGTTCTACATCAAGTACCGACATTAGATTTTCTAAAATGAAAAATGTATTTTCCAATTTCAAAATTCTATTATAAGAAAACGCAAACAACAAATTACATTTAAAAGTTAATCTGGCTAAGCTGTTATCGAGATTTGAGAAGCGCGGCTTCATGTGTAAAGCTGATCGCTTTACATTCACACGAGGGGTTAAGTCAAAGTCCTTCGTCTTAAGAATTTGTACTTAAAGTTAAATAAAAATAAACACACGTGAGAACAAGCTGGGGCGCATTGAAATAGTTGCAATTTCCCGCTTATTGAGTCAAAAGAGATTGAAGTAACCCATAGTACAAATAAAAAGACGCTTTTATGAAAGCATGAACTAGTCAGGAACAAGAGATTATAACTTTTTGTCAGGAACCAAATGTTTTAGTGAACTACTTTGGGGCTTGCGTGATATTGCCTTAAGACAGATCGACAATCATATTAGACCTGCTGTGCAGGACACCTTTCATCACTCGAAGAATACTCACGAGTCCATCAAACGACAGAAAAAGGAATGTGTGAGAGAGATAGAGAGAGAAAAATGTCTTGCAGGTCATTGAAAGCTTCATAATTGCAGATATTGCAAATTTTCAAATCAAGACTAGCCTAAAAAAGGATCAAATTTAGATTCTTTCAATCTGGCTGGCCTAAAAATTTGCTTTAAAGTGAATACAAGTTTGAAATTGTATTAGAGACACAGTTCAAGTGCGCTAAAGGGGGTATAAAGATGTAAATTATAGTAAGTCTATCACTAGATCTCTCTACTTTACTTAATTTAAACACTGAATGAATTAATTTAAGGCTTAGATTAATAGAACTCTGATAATGAAAAACTTTTTGTTCGGAGCAATTTTGAACTGCTTGTAGAAAATAATCCGGATCTGTAGAGCTTTGGCTTTCCACGGTCGGTGATTGGTTTGGAAAATTCGCGCCAACCACCAATCAGATGTGAGACCAAAACCAATCGCGGCTCTGTAGCCCGCGTTTTCCCGCGCTTCACTCCCGTTACGGGGAGTTTTCATTGAATTTTGATTTTGATTTGTTCTAACAGGGTGTGGTGCCTACTGCGGTTTCACTATACGACCCTCAATTGAAACGCGCGTACAAATAAGTCAAAGGAGTAAACTCAAGAGCATGGTTACTCACTGGCTGTAATTTTGACTTACCTTAAACCGCCTAATCTGGTTCGAAGCCGCCGTTTTGGCTCATCACGCAATGCGCACGGGCAACACATCACGTTACAAGCGATAAAACGGTTGCGATGGACACTACCTCCCTTCCCTCCCCCCTTCATAAAATCAACGAGTTCTATCACTATCAACTTATACAAAAACTCACTTGGCTGTTCTTCTCCGACAACGCTGATTTTTTCTTTACTCAGCTGAGAGGTAAAAAAAAGTTATATTAGTTAATTCTGTTACTTCACCATTTATATACCTCTGGACAAATATCTTCCTCTTAAGACTGAGCACGAGTAAGGGACAATCAGAACGGGACCTAAAGTTGCAGTCGATATAAAAACCCCTCCCACTCCACCTCCTCCATCCTACGGAAAAGAGACCCCGTGTGACATTCTTTCGTCTTCATGATAATACAAAATCTAAAAAAAAGAATCTTCACTGTCCCAATGAAATAGAGGCCCAAGTGGAACGAAAGTTATTTTCAGCCCAAGAATTATGAAATGGATGGACATGAAACCCGGCGAAATGAGCCCCTCTTCAACGCAGATTCAGTTCGGGCAAAAGATACTCCTCCGACACTGAGCTCTACAAAAGCAAAATGCTTTAAAAAGAAATCCTATTTGAAAAAACCCTTGGCCAGGTGAGGAGCAGTTAGCTCCAGGTAACCATGGATACTCCTGGATGAAGAGGGGCTCTATGATAGTAAAGTAATTTGCTCCGAAACATACTCCTGCATGGAAAAGACCCCTATAACACAACACAATGACCATTGCTGGAGCGTCAATCTTAGCAGCTCACCTTAAGGTAAAGCTTGATTTCTTCAGCTCGTTTCATATACTTTTCCACCTACAGGAGCATTCAGAAAGACAAAAAAAGGTTTGAGGGGGAGAAGTTTTCAACTGTGTGCCGACAGTGTCGCGGGTCGCATTAGTTTAACTTTACTTCTCTCCGTTATTGGTTTGGAAAACTCGCGCGTCTCTCTAGACCACACAAATTCAAAACTAAAATAAACCGCGAAAATAATATTCCGATTTCCCCGCGCGTAAGCTATTTGCTGCTTCTGCGTTAATTTATCATAGGCTCCTTCTCCTTGTGGTATCTTCTTCGATTACGATTGGCCGTTGTGGTTATTTTGGTTTTAGTTGTAGGGCACTCAATCGATAGCGTTCAAGGAAAGATATCTAGTTGAACTTTAAGTTACGACATAACTTGCCTCTAAATGCACTGCTTCCTTGTACGATCCACGAGGTGTACCTAGAATATGACAGAGACGAAAAACGATTAAGTCTTCATTTAATTGCACACATCAATTCGATGCTCGCTTAAGTGATAAACATTTTTTAAGACTCAGATTGAAAAAAAAAAAATCAATAAAAACAGCCTGTTTATGGATCCTTTTAAAGAGAAGCCATTTGAGATGTTTCTGTACATTCAATTCGTCTAATCGCTTTCGGTTGTTCAACACCGACATGAGATTTATTATTAACGACATTTAATTCAGGAGAGTGTAGTACAATCCTTTTATATTCAAAGAGTGACCGGCATCTAACTTCCCCTGACAATATCATCCTTGAATCACACATTAAGGTCACGAGAATAAAGGAAATGATCACCAACAAAAGTTCCTGATTTTAAAACGAATTCTCCTCGTCAGTATTTAATAAAATGTATGGAGAACAGTATGGAGAATAAGCATACTGATGTTAGGGTGTAAAGGGTTAATCGAGAACACGTAGTAATGCTGTTAATCGGCTCCAACCTGATAATATAGGTAAAAGTGCCTCCAATGCCAACTGATACTGTTCCAGTGCACTGTCATAAGCTCCATGCTCATCCTGAAACAACAAGGCTTAGCATAAGGGCCCGCTCTTTTTCTATCGCAGGGGGGGGGGGGGGGAGAGAAAGGGGGTTTTGGGTTAGCGGGGGGGGGGGGGGGCGGAGGATTTTGGTTGTTTCACGATAAGATTTAATTCATCCCCCTCTTAGGCTCTGTAGTATTCTATGATCCCCCTTCATCTGCAGTCAGTTTTCTTAAGTACCCCTTTATACTCTGTCAGCGACGACTGACCCCTTCTCCGTTCCCCATTTTGCGATTCCAGAGAAGATGTTATAAAGTGGTAATCGAACTACTTGTAGTGCAATTTTGATCTCAAATCATACTTGTGATTTCAAATCAAACTTGCGCTGCGCGCTCGTTCAATTTTGAAATCAAGCGTTTGAGTTCAGACCAAATTGTACTCAGGTCAATGACCATTATTTACTCCTGCAACGATTAAAACAATTTCGGGCGCAGATCCCGCACGCTTTGCTCATTGGATATGAGATGGTGAATAATCAAAGAGTCGCGTAGCGCCGAGTTAGCTATAACCAATCTCGTATTCAACAAGTGCGAATGGAATAATTTTTTACTTAAATCTCATCAAATCCTAAACTTTTGGCTATTTGAAGCTTTTTTCGGCTCTGCAACAGTTGGCGTAATGCATTTTCATATAGGGTGACTTGGAATATGAGCTGATAACCGGAGTTGAGTGAACCAATCATAACACTAGATATGTGATATTTAGGGGTTGAAAATTTAATGAAAAAGGATATTTGGAGTTTGATTAACCAATCTGAGCGCACTTTCAACGCTATCCACTGTTTAAGTATTAATTAAATGCATTTATCTTTCAGTTCTATCCTTCGTTCTTGACATTTCTGTCTCTCAAATATTCCGTTTGATCACAGTAGCAAACTTTTGCTACCCTCTTAAATACCAATCTCGGCTCGCTCATTTACGTTTTCTCGCGCTTCAGGCAGTTTGCCAGAAGGCCTTAATAATTCCTTTTAGTAGCGGTTCTAAGGCACCCAACCGAAATTTGCTTTAATGTACTTTTGCTATTCAGTGGTTTGTAATTCAACTTTAATGCAAAGAGAATGCTTTTCGATCGAGTGTCGAATCACAACCGCCAATCAGAAGAGAAGAAAATAACTGCCTGGAGCGCGGGAAAACACGGGGGCGACCAAGTCATGATTGGTTTTAGTTTTGTATCTGATTGGTTGAGAGAGAAGCGCGAATTTTCTGGAACAATCACAAAGCACATTGTAATCCCAGATTACCTGCGACGATCAATTGAAAATTGCTCCAAACTAATCAGAGTTTATGATCGGCCAGATACGGTTGAACCCCCGATCAGCTCTCTGAAAAACTCGGCGCTCTGATTTCCTTTCTTCGTTACTTCTCTCATTAATGACATAAAATAAAGGATTCACCGCCTTAAAAAGTAGTAACTTACTCTTATTTCCGCGATATTTGCAAGGTGAAGGGCTTCTTTCAACTCAGGGTGTTCACTGCTGTAACGCGCTAGTAGCTCATCAGGGCTACTATGTGCTTTTGTCTTAAAACACTGTTTCAGTTCTTCTGCTCGGTTCATGTACTGATTCACCTTAAAATTAAACCAAAAGAGACAGAAGGCAATTCTGTCTCTGACTGACAATTCTTTGTTATTTCATGAAATATTATAATCTTACAAAAAGTTCAACGTTTCCGTGTAACATTTTCATAAGTGCAACGACATTTAATCATTTCATTCCCAAAAGTGATTTAAATGAAATTTCTCCTAACAATGCAAAGACATTGTCTAGCGAACAGGTGGGGAGAATAGACACACTCATCGACTTCATGCAGGTATCAGCTAGTGATAAAACACTAGATTCTCAATACTAAACATATGGATTAAGATGTAAGAGTGGAGAATTGAAAGTAATACGTGTATCACCACCGTATAGAGCTTGGGTATCAGTCAAGATCTATTCTCACTTGTTCCAGGCTCTCAGTCAATGCAGATGAACACAAAATATGGTGGAATATGAGATGGCTTGAAGAAACATTTCATAGCCTTTTCTCTGAATATCACAACCGCCATGTCTGCTTGCTCACAATTTATTTTTGCTCTGACACTCACTCCTCTTTACTAACTGAGAGCCTGTCATAAGCCAGATTTATCATCTGGTTGTCAAGGCTTCTTGATTTCAAGATAGGTTTAATTTGGGCACAGTTTTCTCATCTAAAACTGGAGTGTGACAGTGAAATGTAACTCTTGAATCTATTTGTTTTATAAGGATAAATTTTAGAACAGGGACTTCCTGACCAAAATGAACTGACTGATCACTGCTTTACAGATCAAGCAAGGAAAAAAAATGCAAATTTAATCAAACCAGGGAGACTTATCATTTTGACACATGATTTTGTGCTTCAATCAAACTTGTAAAATGATGAGTACCGTGGAAGGAGGGTCAGTGCATCATAAGATTCAAAAGCTATCGCCAGAAGCTACTGCTTAGAATTGATATTACAACAAAGAAGGACTTACCCTCTCTCGCAATTTTGTTTTCATCTCTGGGTCCTTTTCATCTAAAAGGAGAGTGTAATTATCAATTTTTTATTACAACAGCTACATGAACCCCAAACCACTTTTGATTGAGTGTCAATGAAAAGCCAAACCAATAATAGAGCAATCACAACAGCCAGCCACAACAAAATTGAACATCACAAGGAACAAATGGTAACTGCCAAATGAAAAAATTATATACAAATGTATAAAACTGACCTTCAGTGCAGGAAAGTGTTGGTGACAAAATTTACCATAACTAACCCCTACTACACCACTCTTACACAACACAACAAACAAACAAGACAATGAATCGGTTTGGGTATCTTTAACTAGCAGCCTCTGAGTGCTCAAGGAAAGTGCTCAGTGTAAGAGGGAGGGTTAGAAATGACTAGAACAACCACATCCACAAAATGAAGTGATCATATGACAACCAAATGTCAGTCAACTGCTAGCCAGGCACAGCATGGAGGCCTGGATCTAATTAAGTTATTGCCCTAAGAATACGAAACTCTTAGCCATAGCTTGCCATCTGACTGGGAAAAGGGGGATCCTGAGTATTCAAAAACAATCGCAGAGTGCAGGGAAGCAAAACAAGTGCAGCCCCAGATCACTTCCAAAGCTCAAATAAAAATTTCTTTCGACATGAATAGCAACTAATAGACATACACTCAATGGCTGGTAAAAAAAAAGCCATAGCTTCACAGTAGAGTTTTGCAGCTCCTTTTAAATCACCAGCATCATCCATTTTAATGGCCTCAGTCACAAGCTTAACCTGCAAAGAGCATACAAACATACAGTGTAAGATCAAATAGGTAGTTGCATGTACATGTTGCTTAAATGGAAAATTCAAAACATGGAGTAATCCTGTTGATGAAAATAAAGATTTTTTCAGTCCTGAGAGGTACTTTCATGGAGCATGGAGATGTCATTGTACTATCCACTGGTATTAGCCAAACTTTTGGTTTCACTAATTGAGACTTTTTTAAAGAATTCAAAGTCAGGTTATGAGCTTGAAGGGCCATATTACTGTTAAGTATTTCCAGCTCTCTGTGGCATGAAGCAATTAAGAGTGATGCCACTCCCCCCATGAAGGAGTTGTTGATCCATCCCAGGGTTGTAACCCCTTCTGCATTTTGTAGGTTTCTGGGACAGTTTGTTGGTAACCATTATTGCTCCTGGTTGAAACTTGTGGTGTGACAAAAGAGTTTCTTACATAAGAACAAAACACAATGACCAGCCCAGCCATGCCCAATCCTGATCCTTTCAATCAGGAGTCTATTACACTGACCATGAGGTCACAATAGCTCCCTTTCTTTCCCAGAACTGATTAAAATGTACCTTCTCCCTATAATATCCATACACTATCCAGCATTGATGTCATGAGAATACTCAAAATTATCACTCAAAGAGATAGTATTTGTTTTCTTGATTTAACTCCAAATTCTTGTGACTAATTTACAAGAAATGTTTAGCAGCTTGAGGAAAGAATTAACAATCAGATCTTGGGATTTGAAGGGTTAAAAGAAATTGATGAGTATTATAACACTTACAGCCCTCCCTAAGCAGGATGGTGATGGGACATGTTCTAGATCAAGAAAAGGATGTGCAAAGAAATCCTCAAAGGAGATTCTGTCCATGGGATCTCTCTGTAGCAAGGCCAACATGAGATCCTGACAATCTTGTGACACTTTGGTCCCAACAGGGAGCTTAAAAGTATAAACCAATTAAATGATTGATGATGTAAACTTTCTAGCAACAATGAAAATCCAACTTGGCATTAAAAGATATTAAAAAAAAAAGTTTGCCACTGATGATCTCACTTCAAATAAATGGCAACAGCTTAAACCAAACAATTAGACGTGACCTTTACCTTGTCAGGAAATGGCACAACTGTGCACAGTTACATAAAATTAGAAAAACAGCTTTTTAATATATTTTTCTCTGGATAAAGTAGTGATTTAGGAGAAAGCTGGGGTAAAGTGGAAACTGTTCATGCTTTACATCCTGTAATCACCAAGTTTCAATTGAGGTAAAACTTTTGTTAATTATGTCCATTTAACAAACTAAGTTAATTGCCACAAGCTCATGAGACTCTCTCAGGCAATCATCAACCTAATTAAGTTCATGTTCACATGAAACATTGCAATGATGTTACAGTTCAATCTTTCAGCTCAAAACCACTTTTGTAGCAAGTGTTTTATAGAGGCACCACAGGGATTCTCTGCAGTTGATTTTCAACATTTATGATAACCTCTTCCTTCTACTGATCCAGTCAGTGTTGACCAGTACCTGGAATGGAAGCTTTTGGCTGAATTGTGGGGATCTACAAAGTACTAGGGTTACGGTGGTATTTTATCTTGAGGCTGGCTAAACACAGTGGGAACTTTTGGATAACCCAGGAAGAATGTAAAGTGCAGAAGAAACAGTGAGAATAAAAGAAACATGAAATCATGCAACAATGAAGTCTTTATAGCAGTTTTGTGATCACTACTGGTGTTATCCTTACCTCTATAGGAGCTGAAGATCGAATCTTCGTTTCAAGTTCTGCAAAAGACCCAGAGGCAAAAGGTGCCACACCAAACAGTGCCTCTTAAAAAGAGTGAAAAATAAGAGTCATTCATTATTTAAAATGAATATAAAATACCCAATTTTAATGTTGGTCTACATGTCATGCATTCACTTTTTCATATGTTGCTTACATATTATTTTTTTTACCTATAACAGTGTCACTACCTTATTCCAAAATTGCTTTCTGTCAATCAGACATTTTACTTAATAGATATAGTTAGTATGCTGAATACTGCCACTGGGAATGTGATTATTCAGTTCCATTTTAAAAAATGTTGTCCCTTGAAAGTACCGGGTATTAAATAAAAAATAATTCCAGATAAAATGGAAATTAGTTATTATAAATGCTATTTACTTGCTAGTTGCTCAAATAAACCAAAAAATGTCCAGTGTATGAATCAATATAAACACAATCTCTGAAAGAGCCCACATAGTGTTAAACAGTCAGACTAATTTTTAAATTATTGGTGTAATTGGCTTACAGGAGATGAAAGCAACCAAAACAACAAACAAACAATAACAAAACTGAGAAGGAGCAGTCTGTCCAACAGTGACTCACCATAGAGGATAACACCCACAGACCACAAATCTACCCTGGCATCATATTTTAATGAACAGATCATCTCTGGCGCCTGGCAAAAAAAAAAGTACGTATTAATATTAATCATATTAGCTATGAATTCAACCTAATACAAAATAAAAGTGGCCCTAAAACAGATCCTTGTGGAACTCACACATTGTTTCTGGTTTGGTAGTGCTAGCCAATTGATTTTAACAAAATGCACAATCATGTAATGTCAACAAACCTTAAATTCTAAAATCCTTGAACATTCCTTCAACCCTTTAACTTCCATGAGTGACCAAGACAGAAGTTCTCTTTACAATATCAATACAATATTTAGCAGACAAGTGATGAGAAAAAAAAAATTAATTAAGGGATTCTTAGTTCATCCAATACCAAATTCTCCAAACAAACATCACAAGAACTATGTGGCAGAAGATAACAATAATTTATTAATGAGATCTTGGGAGTTAAAGGGTTAAATTTAAGTTTCATAACGAGTTCCATACTTTCCACATTGTATTTATTTCTCCATTTATCTATTTACAAAAACCAAGGCCATTAATTTTTTTGTTAGGCTAGCTCTACTTGGATGACTGATCTTTGCTACAATATCAAATAAAAATGTTATGATAAGAATTTCAGTTGTAATACACCAAAGAATATTTCTTAACAAGCCTCATCGGCCAACATACAGTACCATGTACAGAGGGGATCCTCTCAGTGTCTTTGTCTCCTCTCCACTATGTAAATACTGTGCAAAACCAAAATCTGTGTAAAAAGTAAGTATGTAGGATCGTGAACAAAACAGAATAAGTAAGTTCATCTAACATGGCCTGCCCTGGGTTATAACTTACAACAAGCAAAGAACCTGCATGAAAAACAAACTAAAACCTTCTGGATGTGAATTGTGAAGACCCCTTATTTTCAAATCAAAATTGATCTTGACAGGAATAACCAATGTGTGATATTCAAGACAAAAATTGAAGTTGAGGTCTATTTTAGAGGAATACATCAATTGAGAGCAAAAATGGAGTTAAAATTTTAAGCAAAAACAACAAGTCACCAACAAGCGTTACCTGCCAATTTTAGAACAGGATTTTGTGGGTCTGATAACAGCAAATTCTGAGGCTTAAGATCCATGTGAGCTATGTTGTTCACATTCAGAAATTGAAGTGCAAGAGCTAAAGAAAAAAAAAAATGTCATAATAGACTAAAATTACAATTGCAATTAATTAATTATTAATTAAAAAGAAATTTGAGCCTTAATAGGGGAAGGGTGAGTGTAGTGTTCTGCACCGGATTACTGACAGAAATTTAGTTTTCTTTCTATAAATACTACAGAACTACTTCTTTTCAAGTCCAAGTTATATGTACCAGGAGGGTAAATATTTGATTATTATTAAGGAATGTTACGGTAATATATCATGATATCTCAGAGGTATCTAGATCAATCATCTGTAGAGGCCACAGGCTGGGGCAAATAACTCATCAGCAGGACACTTCTACATCATGATATATCTGGAAAACGGCCAAGTTCAATGGTTGTTTTTTCATTCAATTATTGAGTTAACTTTTTTCTACAGAGAATTTTTCATATATCATTCTCACACAGTTTAAGAAAGTGATCTGTAATTTACATTCAAAACAACAGTACTATGATTAAAATTAATATGTATTTCTTGATAGCAAAACTCAGATGATTCAATTTTAAATCTTATACAGAATTATATTTTCCTCATATACCTAACTGTTGTAAAAATTTCTTAGCAATAGGCTCAGGTAGACCTCTTCTGCTGTGAATAAACCTGGATAAGTCACCACCACTGCAATACTCCATTATGAGGAAAATGTATTGATCATTCCACTGATAAAAGAAAAAGAACACACAGATATGAAATGTCAAGAACTGGAGCTTATCTCGTTTGTACAAATTAATGCTTGTGGTAATTGAATGAAAAAATGGGCGAGATCCATGCAACCTTATCCTCACTATTGAAAAGTAAATTTGAACCAAGGGAAAATAAAATTAGTTCAAGTTAAATGGGAGTTTGGGTTGACCAAGGTCTGGTTAGCTGTTGGTAAATGAATGGAAAAGTGGGGTCAAATTTAAGGGAAATCAGATCTTGTTCAAGTTAGAGGGGGGGGATTCCTATTGTCCACGTTCGAGTTGGAGGACTTCTACTGTAGTTCATCACTGCAAATGTTTAACAACTACATTTAACCACTAAAAGAGACTATGCTTACCACAAAGTCTTTCAATTTGACAATATGCTCGTGATCAAGTTTCTTGAGTAATTCAATCTCAGTGAGTAAATTTTCTGTTGAAGTCTTGCTTAGGGAACTTTTTTGAATGCACTTGATTGCAACCACATCTCTGGTGTTACCCTATAGAAAGTGAAGAGTAAGAGTGAACAATTTAATGCCCTTTTACTTGTGTGAGTCAGACCAGGACTAAATTTCTGAACTGCTAGCCGCCAAATACCAAGGTTCCAAATACTGTACACTTTATTCTTCCTATTATTTATCTCTGTACAAGTTCAAATCTATTCGAAATCTAGTAGAAATATATATGTTTCTGTCAGAAAGATTGTCAGGATAATCAAGCACATAAAGTAACGTATACATACCCGTTGGTGTCTCAAATTCTGCGACTAGTAGTCATTTAATTTTGTCTTACTAATAACATTGATTGTTATGTCACTTCATAATAATTATGACGATAATTTCAGTAATTTTGTGTCATAGCGAAACAATTTCTCCCTACCATATCATTACAAAATCAAGCAAACAAGAGACAAGAATAAAGAAATATATCAATTATGGGATCATTTATTGATCCTATCCCAAATTCTCCAAAATAACATCATATGATTTGTATAGCAGACTGTAAGGAATGCTACCAAAGAGATCTTGGAAGTGAAAGGGTTAACTAAATGCCTCAAGGCAAAACTGTCTCCTTGATTTTTTGCTTGTCTTTGAAAATGCTTAAATATCATATGATCTTTTTATGTAACATTTCATTCAAAACAGAAACAATGTTCAGAACTAACTTCAACTGGCTTCATTTGATTTTTTATTTTTTTAAAGGCGCACTCGTGGTAAAAGATATCTCTTTCTTGCCAGCATTCTTTGTGACTTCTTTAATGCAGCAGATAAAAAAATTGGAAGAGGGCATGAATTCTAATTTTTGGCTTGAATTACTACAATTCACTCTTAAAAAAAAAAAATTCAAGAGGGATTCAAATAATCCTAGAGTTGTTAAATTACACACTTATATTACAATTTTCAACTTTTTGGTATGTGCTTCATTTATCTTCACTCTTAAAATAAGAGACTGATTCCTCGTTTTAAAAACTGTGTTCAAATTTAAGATAGAAAAGGACTCATTCTCAGATTAGTTCTTCATAAGAACAGTAACTACCATTTCCTCGATGTTCACTTTCACTTGCGTTTTGTATGACCGGTTCATATTAAAATTTAAGGGAAGAACGAATCACCGCGAATTATTTTCAAATATTCATGGTGAAATATTTTGAGTAACTGTATTTTTAGTAGTTGATGTTTAACTATTGTGAAGCAGCTTCATGTAACTTGAACTGACAGGGCGGATGAAAGATTGTGAAATTCCGAGTCACTGAAAATGAAGAGATACTTCTTTATAACAATGTTAAAATAAATTTGGACGCTTCTAAACTGTTACCTTTTTGAATGCCTTATATACAGTTGCGTATGTTCCCTGGCCTAATTTCTCGGTGATAACATAATGCTCTAGCCTTGGAGGAGGCACTACTTGAGGAGAACTATAGGTGGCCGCCATTTTGTTTGTTTACGATTGAGCCCGCGCGCGATATCGCTGGTCAAAGAAACTGAAATGACTAGGTACACTTGAAGTGAACAAATAGAATTGAAACTTATTTCAAAAAAATTTCATTAGACCCATCAAACTTTAGTCTTGATCGTCGCAATGGTACTTGTAAAGGAGCATATCGCAGAAACATGGCGTAAAATAATTCAAAGCTCCCCGAATAGGCGAGGGAAATCGTGGGTTGTGTTTCGACATGGAACTTGCGTGATTCTCATGGAAGGAGCGTCTAGCAAAGAGGAAGCAATCACTCAAGCCACGCAGATTATTTCTGAATATGGTCCCGTTTATGCTGGAACCCCGGCTGGAGATTTTAATATTACTGAAAATTCTGCAGTTGAAGGAATAATCGTGACTGGATGGCATTCAGATGTTCTAAATTACGTTGACAAGGATGAACAAGGAGATAACATGATGGTCAGTGCTTTGATCGGAAGGAGCAAAAGGGATCAAGACGGAAGGAATCCTGAAGTTCTGCATGTGGAATACTCTATTTAAGTGATATGGATGAAAACATTTTAAATAAGTGTCGACGAAAATAGCTTTCTTTTTTCAATAGAGCAAACTCAAGGAAGAAGACAATACCATCTGATGGTGATGCACAAGCGAATAAGCCATGTCACGCTCGGAAGTGTGTTAGCATAAATTAATGTAAATTGATGAATAAATTAATGAAGAGTTATTGCCGGATAGCTGTGGAAATATGTTCCAAAATGACTGTCAAACTCTCAAAAGTTCTCTCAAAAGCTAGCGCGTTTCTGTGGCGATAGTTTATGCAGGGGATAGGGGGTGGGGGGAGGGGGGCGGAAGCAAGAAGATTCGTCAGAGATTCTGACCATCATGCGTTTTGGGTTGAAAACATGGCGGACGGACCGATTGAAGAATCGTTTGACCGTAAAACTATGCCTTTTTTTCGGGAATTAATTAGTATACTTTCGCGGAATCATCAAAATACTTCTCTATTGATGTTTTTTTCGAAAATTGTAGCCTGTTTATAGATTAGATTGAAATGTCCCAGGTCAATTACAAAGGACTACTTCAAATTCACTGCCAAAAATCAAAGGCAGTTCTACCTCACTACAGCTGCACGGAAAGAATGCAGGGATTTAGCCCTGTTTTCTCAGCGAATGTGGTTGTTTTCGGAAGAAATTTCACCAGTGGAGGCGAATTTAGCAACAAGAAACAGGCAGAACAAAATGCGGCCAAAATAGCGCTGTGTGAATTAGGATTGTTGGAACCAAATCTAGACACAAATGAACCAAAATTGCAACAATCTGAGATCAAACAGCCTTTGTTCGTTGTCGATGGCGCTGAAGTTGGTCAGAATAAATCGTGTGCAAACATAAATCCTCTGTCAACACCAGCAATGGATGAATCCCTGGAAGATAAACAGCAGACGCCATCAGCTGAAGAAGATTTGCGCTCACCTGTCGCTCAGAGTTCGGCTACATCTGTAGGGAAAGTTTCTTTATCATTTAAAAATATCATTCAGGAGAAAGCACAGAAAATGGGATTGCCTCTTCCTCAATATGAGACTACAGTAGAGGGGTCTGGTTTTGTTTGCACCATGACCTTTAACGGGCAACAGTTTAAGAGTGAAGGAGTTTCATCCAACAAGAAACAAGCTCAGCAAAGTGCAGCATCAGTAGCTATTAAGCTTTTGAATTTAGAGCAAGGACCTGAGAAAAAATCCCTGATACAAAAAACTGTTGCACTAGACAGTCAGAGTCCTGTGGTCTCTCCAGAAAAATTTGATGCCAAATTGTCTTACAAGAATCTCTTTCAGGAGAACTGTCAACAGAGGGGGAACAAACCACCCATTTATGAAACATCATGGAATGGTAATGTATTCTACTGCATATATGCTTGTTGTAAAGATTAATTGTCATCAACAGAAATGCCCAAGCGTGAAAGCAGAGCAACAGATGTTTTGTTGTAACTATACTTGTCAGTCATTGTGCAAAGCATGCACTAAGATAGGTGATATTAAAAAAAATCTCTACATAATGAAGTTTTCTTTTTTTTTCCTTCTCTTCTTACCTTATCCTAGTTTAAAGACAAAAGCTCTTGACGGCATTTGGTTACTTTTTTTTTCTCTTTCATTTTCTTTGTGTGTCTGGCTGTGGTTGTTATTTTTACAGTGCTGTCATACAATGTATGTAATTCTAATTTTCTATTCCATGATGGTGCTTGGACAAATATACATGCATGTTTGCATGTTTGTGCACGTATGATCATGACTTAACAACTAATATCTCAGTTTAATTGGCTTCCATATTCTCTTACTTAATGAGTTGTATACCAATGTGTTAGCACACAATACATGCACTACATATATCATGGTGTTAAAAAAATACCTAGTGGGTGCATTTATAAAGTTATTATTAAATATTACTTGACATCAGGACAGGATTGTTTCAGGTAGAGTTTATGTTTTGCTATGCAATCTTTATGCTCTCTGTTTTTATACATTAGCAGTTGGTTTGAGAAACTACAGTAAGAATTCTGAACAGCCCCACACTTCATTACGCATACAGTTCTTGGATAAAGAAAACAATGGCAAAAATAATAGATTGCCTTTGGGACTATGACTTTGTTTTACAATAGTATGGGGCTGTTTAGAAATTTTACTGGAATTACAAAAATATTTCTTTCAAGGGACTGGATTTATCAGCCGTGTTCAGTTTGGTGACAAGACTGTGTCATCAAAGGTGCCATGCTCCAATAAAAAACAAGCTCAGCAACTGGCTGCCAGGGAAGCCCTGTTAGCTATAGGAGTATCCAATCCAGAAGATGCATTTAACAACAAAGAATCAAGAAAATTGAAATCCAAAAGAACTATGCCACAGATGAGTGGATTTAAAAGAACCTGGGTACACTCTCGTGGTGATCGAGGACAGTTGAATCCATGGTATACTTTGAACTTCTTATACCTAGTAATGATTGGATGAGTGACATCATGATAGCATGATGTAATGGATGATCAAAACCAAGGTCTGAGTTATCTGCCAAAGCTTAAGGCTGAAGTAGATAATTTAGGCATGAGGGTTAATTCATGGTATCGTGCAAAAACAAAACTGAATGATTGTTTTATTATAAATTTTTTAAACAATCTGCAAAAGAGGACACTTCTCTCTGAGTTTCAAAAGTTTGACAATACTATATAAGCAAGGGGCTTGGAAACTATGCAGACTGAACTCACCATGACAAATGTCAGTAATATCATTTGCAGATGGTATGCCACACTGTGTGTACTGCATTTATCATGCCAACTTTGCATGCTACTTTATGTTCATTGAATGCTCTTGACCAATCAGATTTTCATAGTAAGTCTAATGTATAATTATTAAAATGCTCATTGTCAATAATATCACCATTGAACATTAACCTTCGTAACTTATGTTTTCAGTAAATAATCTTATCCATTATTATTTAAAATCATGATAATATTTTCACTTTTGTGTTTTTGTGTTATCAGGGAAGAAGTTGACCAATCCTGGAATCAGGCAATTATGAACAAAAGACAAAAGCTGGGCACAGATGAGTACCCTCTTAACAAAGGACAGTTTGAAGGAAGTACATTTGCCCTTCCATTAGAACACCGGCAAGATTTGACAGTCGCTGAAATCTGGAAGGAGAAAAAAAACATTGCTGTTGTCGGAGATACACAGTCATCATTTATTTTGTACTGCACAAGAGTTCCTGGGACTTGTAACATTTTCAACACTCGGACCATGTCCCTAGTTTTGCTTGAGCCAGGTGAACTAACAAAAAACACTTTTATTTAACTTAATGAAAAAATATGAAATTTTAAGTTGGTATACCATTGGTTTGGTAAACTTAAATAATCATGGCAAATCTGATCTATATGCCACATTCATTGCTCCAAGCTGCAACAGGTTTCATGCCATGGTGTCTTTTTGGCAATCAAATTTGCAGCTTAAGTTGCAAATTTGGTAAGTTGTGTATCCACTAAGTTGCTGCTATGTTTATATTGAGTAAGTATATGTTTTTAGTTATATAATCCTTTAAACCCTGCAAGGGACCAGCTTCTAATATCTTCTTACAGTGATACTAATGAACCATTTGTTATGATCAGGAAAATTGAGAAAATGATGGCCATTCTAAGAAACTTTGATCATTAGGCAAATTCTCCTTTTCAGTCCTAAAGGAAATGTATAGAGAAGAGTTTGGAGAATGTGGATACTGAATGTTGTGGTGTAATGAGTTTATAGATCTTGATTATGTTTTTACTTTGTTTGTATCTTGTAATGTATTAGGTTATCGTATAGTTGGTCTTGATGCCTGTTACACTGATCATAAGGGCAAGGTTGCTCTTAAGGCCGAGAGATGTGCAGATATTATCATTCCTGACTCACCAGATCCTGTTTTGACAAGCTGTGGAGTTGTACTGCTTTATCAAGATCCAGAATCAAGGTTACAGTCATTTGAGGTTCTTTTCTAATAAGTGAAAATCTGCGAGTAGCACCTGCACCTTATGGGTTAATTCTGATTTTGAAAACTTCCATCCTTAACTAAACTGGTTTTTGATATACATGCAGTTTACTTCAAGTGCTCCTAAAGCGGTATCTTTCCAGCCAAGCATTTGTCAATGTGGCTGCAGCATTAGCACAGTACTTTCGTCGCAAGGTTTCTGGTCGTCCTGTATCACTGGATATTCCAAGCCTGACAGAACACATTTGTGAATGGATGTTGGAAGAAGTTCAAAATATTGCAGGAATGCATGAAGAAGCTCTTCATCAGCTGTTTTCTCACATGTGGAAGTTCAACAAGAGATGGTGTTCTGTGTTAAGTACCCCTCTCCCTCATGATCTTGAATCACTGAAGGTACAAAGTATTACAGAATAATGTAGACAGGATATTGTAAATGCTCTAAGAAACCTCCTGGGGCCCTCCAAAGTTGACTAGTGGGGCTCTTAAATTATGGAGGAGGGTTATACAAGAGGGAGC